CTCTCTCTCTCTCTCTCTCTCTCTCTCTCCTCTCTCTCTTCTTCTCTCTTCTCTCCTCCTTCTCTCTCTCTCTCTATCTCTCTCTTCTCTCTCTCTCTCCTCTCTCTCTCCTCTCTCTCTTTCTCTCTCTCTCTCTCTCTCTCCTCTCTCCTCTCTCCTCTCTCTTCTCTCGCTCTTCCTCTCTTCTCTTCTCTTCTCCTCCTTCTCTCCTTCTCTCTCTCTCTTCCTCTCTCTCTCTCTCTCTCTCTCTCTCTCTCCTCTCTCTCTCTCTCCTTTCTCCTCTCTCTCCCCTCTTCTCTCTCTCTCTCTCTCTCTCCTCTCTCTTCTCTCCTCTCTCTCTCTCTCTCTCTCTCTCCTTCTCTCTCTCTTCTCTCTCTCTCTCTCTCTCTCTCTCTCTCTCTCTCTCTCTCTCTCTCTCTCTCTCTCTCTCCTCTCTCTCTCTCTCTCTCTCTCTCTCTCTCTCTCTCTCTCTCTCTCTCTCTCTCTCTCTCTCTCTCTCTCTCTCTCTCTCTCTCTCTCTGTATCGCGGTTGTATTTCCCTTGGCCTTACGCGAAGTCTGGTTCACTGACTGCTGACGTACGCGGTTACGGCCATCGGTTGCTTTGGCCGATCAGCTGATCGTTCGCGCCATTTTCATTCGCGCCAACCTGCCTGTCGCCAAGCGCGTGCGAACAGTCTGGCGCGCCAATTAGATGTTCTCGTTCAGGCGGGGCACTTTCGCGAGCATCGGAACCTTTCGGCGCTAACCCATGGACAAAGCACAACTTGCTGCGAGAGACTTGGTCCTTTGGGGCGGGTCAGCGTGAGGTCAAGCTAGGAGCAAGCAATTACGGAAGGAAGCAAGCATTGTTTTTTCCTGTTTTGCCCGCCATGGCTTCAGTTTTTAGAAGAATGAGGAGCATCGTTTCACGAAAAATCGTTGCCGATACCCAACGCAGCAATAACATGACGCTTAACCCTCGCCATGATAGGCGGTGTTATGACACGTGTTTTGATACCAAAACGCGTTCCTAGATTTTCTGGTTTCGGAGAAGCGGCAGTTTGTGATGAGCACTCGACGGCGATCTATGGCTAGCTCAGGCGGCGGGCGGCAAGAGAATTGCACTACAGAGTGTACTCAGAATTGAACAAGACACACGCCAATTTAAGGTTTCTATCGCTGCAGGGCTTGTTCTCGTCAACATAAGATAAAGCTGCGAGGTGAGTTTTCTGTAAAATTCGACCTTTGAATCGTCAACAACATAACAAGTAGTACTAATCGTGAGATCGTGTTCAGAACAATATACTGCTGTTCTCGGTGTAGTGCACGCAAATACACCAGCGGTGACTTCGTAACACTGACCTTTCCGTAGTATTAGTTCACCACTATGGTGCACCAGCGTCCTCAGCACTATGAGAAATATAGTCTTTCGGTGAACCTTCGTCTGCACTGTTTTGGACACCGCTGTCACGAGTGAACTGCGTGTGACGAACACTACAAATGGCGACGAGGATGGGATCTCGCGCTTAGTCGATAGCCACTGTTGTCTAGCAGTGCTGGTAGTCTTGCCAGGCAGATTAATCACACGCGAAGAGGAGAAATAAGCCTGGACGGTGTTCAGCCTCCTGCGCCACTTTGGCCCACGCCGGGGAAACCGATCGTCGACTGGCCTACTTGGGAAGGAAAATGTCAGAATTACCTTCTCGCCATCCTCGGAGAAAGCTTCAGCCCCGCTCGCCACCGTGCCTTGCTCCTCCACTGTGGCGGAGATGAGGCGTACCGCCTTTTTGGCACCCTTCCCCCAGACGTTACGACTGGCGGCGAAACACACTTCGACTTGGCACTGCGCCCATTGCGTGAGTTTTATACGCCACGCATCAATGTGACAGTGGAAAGGTTTGCCTTTCGCCAGCGTGGTCAACTGGTGGATGAGTCCACTGCAAACTTTGCGTCCGCTGTGCGTGGTCTGGCCAAATTATGTGCATTTGATGTCATAACCGATGAACGCATTCGTGATGTGGTTGTGGAGAGGACTGTGCACCACAGGCTACGAGAGAGGTACTTACAGGATAAGGACCTCACGCTGGAGAAGGTGCTGCTACTTGCAGAGGCCTTTGAACACTCCCTGCGGGAAGCTGCTGTCATGGCCCCACCTGCCACCCAGCTGGGAGCTGTGGCCAAGGTCACCACGGCCTCCAGACCCCACATGCCAGGTGGGTCTTCTCCCAGCCCAGCCAGCCTGTGCACCAACTGCGGACGCAAGGACCACCAACCCAGGGACAAGACGTGTCCTGCCAGGCGAATCACCTGCCACACATGTGGACGTAAGGGGCACTTCTCATCCTGGTGTCGTAGCAAGGGGAAACCGCAAGGCCCTAACAAGCAAGCCTGTAAGGAACTCCAGGCACTGTCCTGCTCCACCCACATCAACACCTCCAAGATTATCTGCACAGTGTCTGTCACTGCTGATGCAGGCGTCCAATGAGACGTGTTACTCCAGGTCGACACTGGCGCCACCTGCTCCATCCTCAGCATGGATCTGGCGCATCAGCTGTTCAAGGGCGTCCCATTCGAGTCAGAGCCTGTACGGCTTTGGCAAGAACCCTCTGTCTGTAAAGGGAACCCTGCCGACAGTAGTCCGCTTCAATGGGCAGGACGTACCTGCTACGTTCTACCTGGTGGAGACGCCCAACCAAGAGGCCATCACGGGCCTGGATCTGCTCAATGCCCTCAGTATCACCCTCCACCCAGCTTCCCACAGCATTTACAGCGTGGAGACGGAAGCGCAGCACCTGCCTGCAATCGAAGGGTATGAGCACCGCATCGTGCTTAAACCCGGTGCCGTGCCAACAGCCTACCGGCTCCGCCGACTTCCCCTCTCAGTCCGCGAGGAAGTGTCGGCCGAGCTGCAACGTCTTCTGCAAGCCTGCGTCATCGAAAAGGTCGGCGCCTCTGAGTGGGTAAGCCCCCTCGCCGTGTCCCGGCGTAAGGACGGTCGGATGCGTATCTGTGTCGACCTCCGTGGGCCAAACGCACAGATCGTCGCTGAGGTTCACCCTCTGCCCACAATAGACGAGCTGGAGTCGAAGCTCTGCGGGAGGGTCTACAGCCGAATAGACGTCAAGACAGCATTCCACCAGCTCCGTCTCCACAAGGACTCGCGCTACGTCACGGCCTTCCTGACGCCTGACGGCCTCATGAGGTACACGCCAGTACCATTCGGCCTGGTCTCCAGCGGCAGCGCCTTCCAGAAACTGCTCAGCAGCCTGCTAGAGGGCATCCCTGACTGTGGACACTACCTGCCCGACATCCTCGTGTCCGGGAAAGACCATCAGGAACACGACGCCTGCCTCCGAGAGGTGCTGGACCGCCTCGCCCGGTCCAACGTCACCATGAACCGGGACAAGTCCGTCTTCAGGCAGACCACCATCGAGTTCTGTGGCCATAGGCTGTCCAGCGCGGGGTCGTCCCCCTAATGTCAACCGCGCGCGCCGTGGTTGAAGCACCGCCTCCCACCAACGTCAGGGAGCTACGCAGCTTCCTGGGGACCACCGGATGGTCCAGCCGGTTCGTGCCGGCGTACGCCACGGTCGTCCGACCGATGGCCGACCTCTTCAAGAGAGGCACGACCTTCCAGTGGACCCAGGAACAACAGTTTGCCTTCAACAACGTGAAACAGCTGACCTCGACCAGCCCCGTCATGCGGCCGTTCTACCCGCACCTGCTGACGGTCGTCACTTCAGACGCGAGTGACCGCGGCGCCGGCGCTGTCCTCACGCAAATCCAATACAGGGGCGAGGAGCGCCCAGTCGCATACTGGTCCCGGTCATTCACGGAGGCCGAGTCCAGGTACTCTGTCTCAGAAAAAGAAGCCCTCAGCGCCGTGAACGCGATCGAGCACTGGCGGATCTACCTCTGGGGACGTTTCTTCAAGCTCAAAACCGATCACTCGGCACTCACGACCCTGCTCTCGCCGAAGTCGTCGAACCGAGCAGGAGCACGGATCACCAGATGGCAGTCTCGCCTACTGCCCTACTCGTACCCCGTCGAGTACAAACCGTCATCCCTGTCGCAGACGCGCTGTCCCGGCTCCCCCTGCCAGACACGGCCGGCGCCGAGCCCGACGGCGACGACATCATCGCCCTCGTCACGGACGCCGCCGCAGACATGCTTCCCGACGCCGAGATCCAGGCAGCATCGGAAGCCGATCCAGCACTGAAGGAAGTACGTGAAGCCATCTGTACCGGCTGGCCGGAATCGGCGCGCAAGTGCTCGGCGACGCTCCGCCAGTTCTTCGGCGTCCGTCACGAACTCCAGTTGCGCGATGACGACATCATCCTGCGAGGTCCCGACCGTGTCGTCGTACCGGTCGCCCTGACCGACAAGTACCTACAGGTGGCCCATCAATCGCACGAGGGAATCGTGCGCACGAAACAGCTGCTCAGAAATCTCGCGTGGTGGCCCGGCATGACGCGAGCCATCACCGACCTCATCCGCGACTGCCAGATTTGTCGGGCCAAGGACGCCGTCCTCTCCCAGAGGGCGCGCTCCGCCCCACTGCAGCCGGTCCCTCTTCCGACCGAGCCTGGTCCAAGCTCGGCATCGACGTCGTCGGACCGATTGTAGGTGCGCCACCGTCAGCTCGCTACGCCATCACCGTGATCGACTACGCCAGCAAGTGGCCGGAGATCGCCCTGACGCCGTCCGTCGAGATAGATGACGTCATCAGTCTTCTCAGCACCATGTGGTCCCGAGAGGGATACTGTGACGAAGTCGTGAGAGACAACGGCTCCCAGTTCACGAGTGCCAAGTTCGAGAAGTACCTGAGCGACCGCGGCATCCAACACCGGAAATCGTCCCTCTTCTAGCCCCGGAGGAATGCAGCCATCGAGCGGTTTAGCCGCACGCTAAAAACGTGGCTGCTGGAAGCCACCCAGCAACCGTCGCTGACGGCGCAGGCCTTCGCTGCGCACATTGAGCGCCGTCTGGCGCTGTACCGCGCAGCCCTACGCTGCGCCACCGGTATCTCGCCCTCTGAGGGTATGCACGGCCGCCGCATGCGCCTTGATCTGCTGGTGATGTCGGTCAACGCGCCAGACGCTGATATACGCACGTGCGTCCAGAAACAACAGCGACGCAACGCGCGCAACTACAACAGGCGCCGCGGTGTGAAGAAATCGACCATCCGACCAGGAGACATGGTCCGAGTTCGGCGACCTGGGCACACGCCCAAGAACCTGTCGCGGTTCGGGGCGACACAGACGGTGGTCCGGCGCGTCGGCAGAGCGACGTTTCTCCTGTCGGACGGAACGCGATGGAACGCGGCATACCTGGCGGCCGTACCCGCAACCAGTTCGGCCGTGACGCCTGACGGAGACTCATCTGCCTCCGGAGCCGACAGTCCGCCGCCGACTTCAGTGGACCAGCACGAGGCTCAGCCCGTCGCACCAGGGTCCCCTGCTCCAGATGGGCGCCAGTCGCCCATTCGGCCCAGGCGGGCACACCGCGCGGCGCCGGCAAAGAGCTGCCGCCGTCCTCCTTCGGCCGGCGACGGTTCCAGCCGCGAAAGCTAGGCAGCTAGGCCGCTGCCGAGCCTCGCTCAGACACGCGAGCCGGTGTACCATTTGCTGTCGAAATTGTTGTCATTTCTTGTTTAAGTGCCGTATGTGCCTCAACTTAATGTGTCGGGATATGTAGTGTACGCGAATGCACCAGCGGTGGCTTCGTAACACTGACCTTTCTGTAGTATTAGTCCACCACTATGGTGCACCAGCGTCCTCAGCACTATGGGAAGTACAGTCTTCCGGTGGACCATCGTTTGCATTGTTTTGGACACCGCTGTACGAGTTAACCGCGTGTGACGAACACTACACTCGGCAAGCTCTATCTGTATAAGCTTGGAAACGCCGGGGGAGGGTCGCATCAACCCCCTCTCCCTTACCAGTCCGAGTTACGCAAAACGGGGAATCAAGGCGATGGCTAAGACATACAGAGAGCGTAGGTACTTAAAGGGAATGTCGCACATTTGTATGGCGTTTTGAACTGAAATAGCCATCTTGAGGACATTTTGATGCATTTCACAGATATGCCTTTTTAAGACACAAAACGCTGTGGTCCCTGAGAACACGTCCGCAAAGTACGAAAAGACTTATTTACAGCCAACTTCAAAATCGCCTTGTGATTAATGACGCCATAGAAACGTCATTATGTCCCTGTGATATTACAGGCTGTTTTTTGTTTATGGTCAAAACAGCATGGCCGCTGATACGTTCGCAAAGGCGATAATGCTGCACATGTTGTACAGTCCGCGGAAGATGATTGGCTGTCAGTAAGATTTTACTGCTGAATGTGTGTCGCGAAGACAAGCGTGAGCAATTTCGGGTTGTATCACACTCGTCGAGAACGGGTCATTTTTCCTTATTCCTAGGCCACAGGTCAATGTTCTAAAAAAAGAACGCTACTGTCTGCGCAAAAGTACGGCACCCCAAAAGTGGGCACTCTCCCGAAGTTATAAGAAAGAAGACGCGACGGGAAATCTATCTTTTTTCTCCTGCTGGCATTTGTCTCTCCTACTAACGAATTTTTTACAGACAGCTCTGTTGGCGCCTTGTGTACCGGAGCACAGAACTTTGCGCGGGTTCATGGGTTAGTAAGGCATAATGAAATTAGGGAAGCGGTACAGCAATTTTAGATATGTGTTTGCGTAAGTATTTCACACATGTGGTGCAGGTTTAAATCTTGAACAAAAAATTGGGTTTTACGCGGAGAAGCTCTTGAGCCGCATTGCCATCAACTCCCATTGGGACTTTGTTTCGAAGGGAGGTCACGGTGAAGTCCGGTGCTGTGACTAAAGATCTGTGCGGAAATTTTGAGAAAACCCGCAGTTTGATAGTCCCGCGAGTTGCACAAATGTGAGATCACACTTAATTGACAAAAGAGTGTGAATCGGGGGCTCAAAACGCATGTGATCACTGGCGGTGTGTGCCAGTGGCTTGTATTGGTATTGATGTGATGGGGAGTGTGTGTGCGAGGTTTGTTCTGAGAGAGAACGTTGTTTTGGTTTTCTCCAGTCTACTGAACCCAATAAAGGGTGATATATTGATGCATGATATATTGATGCCTATTGACATTGATGCCTGCCTCTACCTTTATGTTTGTGTTTGAACATGACAAAGAAATGCTGGCAAACTGAGAGAAACATTAGCACTTATGTTGCAGGGGTGAACAAAAGTAAGTACCTGCACTGGTACTTCATTATCATCTTGCCAACATTGTGAACCTATTGAGGTATTACAGCATGTAATCAATCCACTTCATGCCATATCAGCAATTTATTTTGACAGTAGGTGCTGGCGTGTGCAGCTCATTAATGGGCATGCTCAGTATAGGCTCACATTATATGACTTTGCAAAATTGTCTTTCCCTAAATAATTCTGAAAAATAGCGTTATTGGTACTGATGCACATTGTACTGTCTTCACAAATCTTGTATGCAGGCCAGCATTGCTCCTGAGTGATCAATGTCATAGTAACTACAACTTGCGCGGGATGCTGGGTGCTCAGAAAGGCGGAAAAGTATTGCTGTTGGTGTCTTGGACAGCACTTAATAATATATTTGTCATGAGCCTGGTATGCACTGGCAGCTTCATCACTTGCATTTTGCCCATCCAACCATAACTACACGCACTTGTCATGTCTCCAGCCTTGTGCAAGGCCAGTGTTGTATCGTAGCCTCGTGTCGCATCGTAGTTGTAGTACATGGGCCCACCGCGAGTGGCGCCACTGTCGGGCGTTGCGAGTCAGTCGGCCCGGAGCCGCCGTGCCGCGCAGTTGGTTGTTCCTACGTTGTAAACTGAACTCACGGTAACGTTAATAAACAGTTTGGAGACACAGCGACTTGGCGACGAGGATGGGATTTTAAGATAGGGACAGGTGCAAGTGACGCGCGGGCCGGCAGGACGTGTGGAACTGCGAGGACTGGCAGAGCACGTGGAGCTGAGGACCGGCAGGACGTGTGGGACTGCGAGGACTGGCAGGGCACGTGGAGCTGACGACCGGCAGGACGCGTGGGACTGCGAGGACTGGCAGGGCACGTGGAGCTGAGGACCGGCAGGATGGGTGGAACTGCGAGGACTGGCAGGGCGCGTGGAGCCGATGGCAGCAGTGTATGAAAACGCAGGTGATCAATCGACGGGCTTCGGGAGTTTTCTGACTCGGTCGGCGGGACAGGGCAGTGTCGTGTCTTCCATTTATTGTCACAGTGTGTCAGGGGCAGGACAGTGACGGGGTCCGATAGCCCTGGGACAGGCTCAGGGGCGTCAGTTGCCACAAAGGCCCCAGGACTGGCACGTGGTTTTGGCGTAGCGGCGTGCCGCCATTTTGGACGTTAGTTCAGCGGGGGCCCGGTAGAGGCGCTGTGTCGTCGGGTCAACGACCTCCAGAAACGCAGTTCGGCAGCTCGCCGACAGAGGCGCTGT